CTCATTTCGGGTGGAAGCCCGTGGTTTCTCGGGGGGCATCTGGCTTCTATAGACTGAGGAGATGGTGGTTGACATGTTACATTTCACGCGGCAAGTGATCCACGTCCGGCGGCCAAACATAATGCGAGGTGTCTTATCTCCTTTTTGTATGCGAGCCCGAATGTGACAATCCGTCGGGGGCTTTGGACCACTTTGGGCGACTTGGCGAGCAATATCTCGGATCTTTGGCTCATTGGAGGTGACTTCAACTGTCTCCTTAATCCCTCGGAGAAAATGGGGGGCGCCTCTTGTTATTATAATTGAAGCCAGGAGTTTGCAGATTGGATTTTTAACAATAGCCTTCAAGAGGTCCCCACGGATGGGCATAGCTTTACGTGGGTCCGTCAGGGCCGAGACGGAAGGGTTGCTGAACGACTGGACCGCTTTATAGCCAACTTGACCTGGTTGGATAGGTTCGGGATGGGTCGTGTCCAGCTCCTCCCACGTATCCAATCCGACCACTCGCCACTTCTTCTTGACTGCACTGGTGTTCGGATTGAGCCTGTAGGGAAAAAGCCTTTCCGGTTCTTGGCTGCATGGCTTCTCCACTCGAGCTTCCGAGATATGCTTCGTGACTCATGGCAACCGTCCCTCCCTTTCGACGCGGCGGCTTCAAATTTCAAAGCTGTGGCGAAGGACTGGAATTTTCGAGTATTTGGAAATATTTTTCAGAAGAAGAAGACACTCCTGGCCCGGTTAGCGGGGATCCAGCGATGCCGCCGGTCCTATTTTAGCGAGAGGCTGATGGGTTAGAAAGACACTTGCGAGAGACGTTAGACGACATCATAATGCAAGATGAGTTATTACTAGTACAAAAGTCGACCCGGGAGTGGGCCATGCTGGGTGACCGGAACACTTCTTTATATCATAGGCAGATAAAGCATCGGCGGCGACATTGAAAATTGTCGAGTTGTTGGACACCGAGGGAAACCTATTAACGGATCAAATGGCCCTTCGTACTTTAGCCACGGACTTCTTCAAGGGCATTTATACGACTGGCCCGCCACCGGTTAGGCATGGAGTGGAACCGAGTCTCTTCCCCGCTTGCGATGTGGAGACGATGATGAGCATGGAGAATGATTTTTCTGATGACGAAATATACTCAACCATCTGCACTATGGGTTCGTTGAAGGCTCTTGGGATGGGTGGCTTAAACGCTTTGTTTTTTCAAAAGAATTGGGAGATAGTGGGCCCTCCGGTGTGGGCCTTCTTTGATTACCCTTATTCCTAAAGTTGAGAACCCGAGCACGATTAAGCAGTTCCGTCCCATTAGCCTACTCAATGTCGTCTACAAGTTATTTACCAAGATATTGGTAAATCATATGAAGGGTACTTTGCCGGATTTGATCCATCCAACTCAGGTGAGCTTTGTCCAGGGACGCCACATTACGGACAATATTGTCGTTGCTTAAGAACTCATTCATTCTATGCGCACTAAGCGAGGGGCGAAAGGCTTCATGGTGATTAAAGTGGATCTTGAAAAGGCTTATGATTATCTACGCTGGGATTTCATTGAAGAGACCTTGCAGTTTGCTGGCTATCCTGCTAAGCTCGTCACGACTGTCAAGGCTTGTCTCCGCTCGGCTTCGATGAATCTAATGTGGAACGGGACGATTGGTGATGCTTTCTCTCATTCCCGAGGCAGGGCGATCCCATATCCCCATACCTCTTTGTCCTTTGTATGGAACGACTGGCCCAGCTCATTTGCAAGGCGGTTGACGAGCGCTCATGGAGACCGATTTCGGTTGGCCGGGGGGCTGTTCACGCTCCCTTTTTAATGTTTGCTGACGATCTCCTATTATTCCTGGAAGCAACGGATGACCAGGTGGCCACTTTGCAGCATACTCTTCATCGCTTCTGCTATTATTCGGGACTCAAGCTTAGCTCGAGAAAACCTTAGTCTTTTTTTTTCCAACAATGTGGTGATCGCGCAACAAACATCGGTTGGCGGCCCAACTTAATTTCAAGTGGACGACAGACCTCGGCACATACCTTGTTGTTCCCATTATTCACGGTCGGGTTACTAACGACACATACACGCATTTGGTCGATAAGACGGAGGCGAGACTAACTGGGTGGCGAATGAAATCACTATCTTTGGTCGGGAGAGTGACTCTTACCCAATCGGCATTAAGCACGCTCCCATTCTATTCCATGAAAACGGCCTTGATCCCGTGCTCGATTAAAGACGCTATTGAGCGCCGAAGTCGAGCCTTTGTCTGGAGAGGCTCGGAGGACAAACGCAAGGTGCACTTAGTTTCGTGGGCGGATGTGTGCCAACCTAAAGAAGATGGTGGTCTCGGCATTAAAAACCTACGATATATGAACAACGCCTTTTTGCTCAAATTTGGTTGGCATATCCTGACGCGCAGCGACTCGTTATGGGTCCGTACTTTTGTAGCTAAATATGGCCTCACCCCCGAGGCTCTCGATGAGACTATGCCGCGTCGTCAAGGTTCGGGGTTATTGAATGCTCTCCGGAAGGTGTGGTCGGATTTAATCAAAGGCGTGCAGTGGGTCTTGGGAAACGAGGAGACGACTCGGTTTTGGGTTGATCCTTGGTTGGGAGTGGAGGGTCGGTTGATTAATTTCTTAGCCCCACGGTTGCCGGCAGTTGACACATCAGCGAAGGTGGCCGAGTTTGTGGATGGGTTCGGGCGGTGAAAATGGGATACGTTTCATGGCCTCCTTCCTTCGTCAATAATATTGTGGATAGCCGGGATTCTCCCGCCGAGCGCTGATGCTGGGGAAGACTGCATGGTTTGGCGCTACTCACAGGATGGTCGTTTTTCCACAAGTTCGGCTTATGGCGCTCTTCTTCGACCGACTGCGGGTCCCGATAAATTGCTTTGGAAACTAGTGTGGCGCGCACCGGCCAGGCAACGTGTTCGAACCTTCCTCTGTCTCGTCGTGAAGGGCCGGCTCTTGACGAACGAGGAGCGGGCTCGGCGACATATGTCTCTCTCAACGGCCTGTGACGTTTGTGGGGAATGTGAGTCGCTGGTACATGTGCTTTGGGATTGTCGGGTTGCCAAGGATTTCTGACTACGGCTTATTCCTTCGGACCAAGTCGGTGAGTCTTTCTCGCTGTCTCTCAAGGCCTGGGTTCAACGGAATCTGGTCACCATGCAGATGGGCCCTGTTCGGAACTGGAATAGCATGTTCTCGTTTGCCGTTTGGCGACTATGGACGTGGCGAAACGACAGAATTTTTAATCACCACTAGGGTTGTAAACGAATCGAATCAAAACGAATACTCAGAGATTCGATTCGATTCGTTTAAAATATTCGAAGATTCGATTCGTGATTCGATTCGATAACGAATTCATTGTTTGATTCGTATTCGATTCGTTTAGAATATTCGAACATATTCGATTCGAAATTCGTTTTAAAAAAATATTATAATTAAAAAATATTATAATTACAAAATAAATTTTATTTTTCATATTTTTTAGAAAATTTTGTTATTTATGATGTTTTTATTTTTATGTCATAAAAATATTAGAAATATAACAATATATATATATATATATATATATATATATATATATATATATATATATATATATTATAAATAAAATGTATATTATATATAATTTGTATAAAAATATTATAATTAAAAAATATTATAATTACAAAAATAAATTTTATTTTTCATATATTTTTAGAAAAATTTGTTAATTTATGATGTTTTTACTTTTTATGTCATAAAAATATTAAGAATATAACAATATATATATATACATATATTATAAACAAAATATATATTGTATATAATTTGTAAAATTTATATAATTATTGTTAACGAATCGAATATTCGAATTTCGAATCGAATATCTACACATTCGGATTCGAATTCGTTATAATTTTGAATCTAAAACATCATTCGAATTCGAATTCGAATTCGAATTTGAGTATTTCGAATTCGAATCACGAATATCGAATTCGAATCACGAATCGAATAAAAAATGTTTGATTTGTTTACAACCCTAATCACCACTGTCTGAGTGCTGACGCGCGGCTCAATGAAGTCGTGCGTTTCACGGAAACGTACAGCCGGGCGACTGCAGCTTATGCTCGAGTTGGGGCTGCTGTGTATGTTTAATAAATTTATTCGTTGGATTCCGCCGGACACGGGATGGGTAAAAGTCAATACCGATGGGGCCTTCGATACCTCTTCTGGTTTGAGTAGTGCGGGTGGCTTAATAAGAAACGAGTTTGGTGGATGGCGGGGCAGGATTTCTTATGAATATTGGCTACTGCACTATTACGGGTGTCGAGTTTTGGGGCCTCCTACAAGGATTACTCCTGGCGTGGGATTTGGGATTTCGTCTTGTCATTGCCGAGGTTGATAGTCAATGTGCCACGCAGCTGATTCATGGCTCAGAGGATAAGTTTGGGACCCATGTAGCTCTGGTTCGGGCTATTCGTAGCCTGTATGATCGTGAATGGAACATTAAGATCCAACACGTTCATAGGGAAGCTAATTTTGCGGCAGATCATTTGGCGGGCTTAGCGGCAAGTTCATCGGTCGGGTTGCACCGGATTTCGTCTCCCCCTGGCTTGGGGGCATGAATTCAGCATGATTTTGCGGGGTTTTCTTATCCCCGTCGTGTTAAATTTCTAAGGCTGGGCCTTCTCTCATTGTACTGAAAAAAAAAATGATATTATTTAGACAATTATAATTGATTATAAGAAAAGTATTATTAACTAGTTAAATAAAAATATTATCATAATATAGAATGAGAAATTTTATGGTGACGAGTGATAATATAAACAAAAATATATTAAGATTCTTAATTATAAATATATACATATAATTTTTAAAGCATAATTTTTTCCATAATTTTTTCCATTATTATTAGTATCATATTAAAATCAGTTGTCCTGGTTGCTCTCCACAAAACTTCGAATTGAATCGACGCCACAGTAAGAAATTCCGGTGCCCTACCCGACCCGAAAATGGCGTCACTCGACTCCGACGTGAACATGGTCCCCGCCGGCGAAGGATCCTCCGGCGCAGGGCCCTCCAACGCCAATCCGTCGTCCTCCTCCAAGAAAGCCAAGCGATTCGAGATCAAGAAGTGGAACGCCGTCGCTCTGTGGGCTTGGGGTATCTTGTTCAAGTCACCCGTTTTTAACTATCTTATCTGTGTTAATTTCTTGATGGACTTGCTTTAGATTTTCGTCTTAGAATTAGTGTTCAGATTTTTTATTTTATTTTATTTTATTTTTTTTTTTTGAGAAAAAATGCCTAAACCCTAGTTCTTGATGCAGACATCGTGGTCGATAACTGTGCTATTTGCAGGAACCATATCATGGATCTGTGTGAGTCTCGTGTTTCATTGTTATTTGCTTGTTTAAGGTTATCTTCTTCGTTGTGACTGTTTTTTATGATTGTGGGTTTTGTGTTTTAGGCATTGAGTGTCAGGCTAATCAAGCTAGTGCCACAAGTGAGGAATGCACGGTTGCTTGGGGTATGTTAAGCTGCTACTTCTATGTTTATTAATTATGATGAGTTATGGTTCTGTTTGTTCAATTCTTTGTATGGATGTGGTTGAATTTGTTGGCGACATAGCTGATAGCTGGATTGTTATGCTTTGGTTTTGGTAAAGGTCTTACTTCGAATTTCAGATGCAATGATAATTGTGTGGCCAGAAATCTTTTGTTTGTTGTTTCGTTTTTTGATATATGTAATTCTAACTCTGTTTTTATCTCTGTGTTGTTTCATGTAAATTTCATAGAAATGAACGTATATTCTCTTGCAATATTGTTAGGCTATTCTTGTTTGGCACTTCCGCTCATTTTATTTTGCGTGTGCAGTCTTTTTTGAATCACATTTGGTGTTGGATGGCTAAAAGTATGAAAGCTTTGAAATATGAAATTCGAGCATGTGAAATAAACTGTTTTTCCTCACAGCTTTTTTGTTCTGCTGTGTTATGAAAGTAAAATTTAGCTCAAATGAGTTGTTTGGCTTTCTCTTTGTTGTATCATGTAAAAATGTATCCGCGTTTCACCCTATTTCTAGGCAGTTAAACTAATGGTGACTGTGTGTGTCACGCTATCATATTTTCCGTTTGAAGTCATTTTGATTATATTTCCTACCACAAAAACTAGCTTCTCTCAGTGGTCAAGTAGAACTTCTCAAGCAGTATGAGCAACCGATAGAACTCGTAGATAACTTCAACTTTTTTGATCTGTTAGCTCTGTCATGCATATTGTTCTCGTCTCTTTTAGATCAGTAAGCTCCTTAGCATTCTTAAACATGACAGTAAGAGGTATTATAATTGACAAGATACTATTAATAATACGAAAGTTATCATACCTATTAGTTTTCACAACCATGGCTTGCTGGGGATATGTGATATCAATAACTACTATTTAAGGGTTGTTTTTTGACAACCAGCAAAATTATGGTGTTTAAGCTTTCAGTTTTACATTTAGGTGAGACATTTTTTTTTCTCCCTTTTTTCTTGAATATATGTATCACTAGTTGTTCGTTGTGAATCTCTTGACATATTAACTGATTTGTGTCTTTGCCACAAAAATCTTTTACTAATTACAGAAGTTTCTTGTAGTCAAGAAATGCTTGAAAAAACTTTCTCGAGCTTTAAGAAATTGAACAAGTATTTTCGCTGTTAGAGATAACACAGACACACATGTTACTATACTATGTCCTAAGCTTTCTATATTGCAAAGGTTCTTAATTGCGCCATATTATTTAGTCCCATTTAGTAAAATGTCGTTCTTGAATTAATAAATTCTCCAGGTGTCTGCAATCACGCCTTCCATTTCCACTGCATCAGCAGATGGCTCAAGACACGTCAAGTCTGTCCTCTCGGTAAATACTCCCTGATTTTTTCGGTGCAAATTTTATTATCTTGAAAAATAAAATACGTTAACAACCAAATAATTTCGCTATATTCAACAGATAACAGTGAGTGGGAGTTCCAAAAGTACGGGCACTAGAAGTTTCCACTGGACCTGAACTGAAGTATTTTCACTTTTGTTAATGAAGATCGTTATCTAGTGGTGCGTTTTGGCTAATATGTGCTTGGGGTAATCATCGTAGATCAGATTGGGACCGTACTTCAGTTCTCCATTGCAGTTGTGTTGATTTTCTTTTTCTTCGATTTGCAGCAGAATTTGAAAACATATTTTTCATCAAGGATGTTTATTGTGTAATCGATTTGTGTCGTTGAATCCTTGTGCGCGTGATTCAGATAATCTATATTTCCTTGTTGAATTGAATCTTTTCATGGGATTCGTTGTTGGCTCGAGTCAACCATCAGGCTAAGTCATTGACTTGGTCGAGAGTCATAATAGAACTGATGTAATCTGGCCGTAGCCTCCTCTCTTACCACGAAGCTCCTTACTTCACGTGGTACAATGATGCAATTTAGCACAACGACTCTTAAGGCAAAGCATCCAAAGGATCAAACAACTGAGTTCAAGTTCTTTCAACTGAAGGTTTTGAAAAGGGAAATTTGTGTCTTTAAAAGGAGTCTTTTTTTATAGTTTTCTCTTGGTAAACCATATGAACTTCTCATATCTAGTGAACTCTAATTATATATCCTTCATTTCATATTAATGATTACACAACCATATTGTAACATTGAATATGAATATTTTTAAATTGAATTGTTATATTCTAACTTAATATTGATGAGGCAGATTACATGGTGGAACAAAGAATCTTTTGGCTAAGTGGACAAAATAAAATGCATTATGGAGGTTTAATGTTTGGTATATAAATGTTATACTTTAATATAATTGTTAGATAATTTTGAAACAATAAATTTCTAATGCATTGAACGTGGCAGGTATTTTCTGGTAAATTTTAATGAGTAATTTTCGATATTTAATGTTTGGTACATGAAATTGGTCAATGAGTCCATGGATTATCTTATATATTTTCTTCAAAAGTTACATAATTTAGAATGTTTGAAGTTTGGTATTCTTATTGCTATGCGTTATTCATTTACGACAAATAATTATGATATTTTTATATGAATATCCTATCTAAAATTAAGGGTGTCTAACAGTATTGTCATTACAAAAAATATTATTTTCGATATTTTTTTTTTTCAATTTTCTCCAAATAAGACTGAATAAATAGTACTCGGATTTATATTCCAAGAAAAATTGTTACTATATATTATGTTAATACGTACCTGTATTTGTCAATACAGTGAATATGTATATGGCTCAATAAATCGGCAATCGCTACTTTCAGGCACGATTAATATAAACTGTGAAAAATCCAATTTATCCTGTGAACTAAGCAAGACACGAAATTTCTAAAGACATCTCCAAATAATGCGCACGTAGAATGAAATTATTATATACAAATATCGAGACGACCGGTATACCGGGCCACATGGTTATCTCCTACGGAGTATACGGGAGCTTTCGGGTCGTCCTTGGATGGTTCAGTTCAGCTTAGTCATGTTTATCGAGAAGCCAACTTCGTGGCGGACTGTCTAGCGTCGCTGGCAGCTAAGGGTTCAGATGGTCTACATAGGTTGGAGAGTCATCCGTCGGGCGCAAACGTATGGCTCCAACATAATTTGGCTGGAGTGTCTTATCCCCGTCGGTTTTAACTAAGGCTTTGCATTGACTTCCCTCTCTTGCACCGAAAAAAAGAACATTTATGAAAGTGAAATAATTGTTGCGTTATATTCATGTATTTAGTCGAAGGCAATTCTCATAAATAACTTATACTATTATTTATCATCTACCATTTCTCTAACTTTTGCTTACTAATTCTTCATAAAATTCTCGATTTTAATTTTTTTATTTTTTTCCCCTTACGAATCGAAGTGATAAAAGCAGCAAGACCACTCTGCTGCTTACAATACCATGTCGCGTATTTAAATCGTTTGCAAAGGATTCTATCCGTCGCTCAATGAAAATTGAACTTCAAGACGGCCAACGCGGCAAGTCTGCCGCGAGAGCTTGGCCCAAAACACGTGCCTTGGGGCCTAACGGCCGACTCGTTCTTTAATATGCCTACAATATTTTTCCTAACAAGTCGCTCGTTGTTGACTATCATCAAATGATGTTGAAAATTAAAGAATCCCAAGAAACAAAGATAATTGATGGCTTCAATGCAGTCGCCCATTATTGTTGACTACAAACATAATACTGAATACAGCATTTACATTTTTCATCCATGATAGGTAGCTTAATAGTGAAGACACCCCATAACTCTTCTTATTTTCAGTGTACTTATCTAACTCACCACATGCGAGAGAACGTAATAATATTGCATGTTTAACTAATTTCGGTCAAAGACATAACTTGCTTTCAATTATTAAATTATCTATGTAAAGAAGGGATTAATAGATGGTGGTAACGTCTACCACTCCGATCAGCTAGAAATCGGTTCGACCTCGCCTTCATCACCGGTAGAACGTCAAGTACCTGTAAAAACTCTAACGCCCAAGGGGAGAGCACCCCTTGGGTAGGGTGGGCTCTAGCCCTAGGTCCAACAAATAATAAATAAATCTAACATTAAATTTTTGAAAATTTTATATATAACCCATGTAATTTTTTGTTTAGCCCCATCTAATTTCGAGTTCGATATCTGAAGGTTCAGGTCAAATTTATTCATTTGACAATAATTGTGGATAAATGATGATTGTAGTGAGAGAAAAGGAGACAATCCTTTATTGTCAAATGACAATTATACATTATTAAATTTTTATCAATTGAGTTTATAATGTAGCGCAACACTCTAATGTCTTATTAAATTTTTAATGGGTTGACACATACTTTTTCTGCGGGCTATTCTGGGCTTGTCTCATTGTACAATTTGTTAACAATTTATTTTCGATTTTTGTTGAATTCGCCTCCAATAATTAATTTGGCCTCATTTCGTAGAAAAAAAAAAAGACTTACAAAGTTGATTGCACACGTGTTCGACTCTAGTTGTTTGATCGACAAGTTCGATTAACTATTTGAGTTTGACTTGTTTAAATGTATAAACGAGTCGAGATTGAGTATTCACAATTTAAACCAAAATATGTTAATATATAATTCAGTTCTAGTCATGGTAAAATAGGTTCCGGGTTGAAGTCGTCGGCCCGAACATATGCACTGGCCGGTTCATTGAGTTATCGGTTCTTGGTCACCCGTTTAATTAAAAGAAATAAATATAATTAAAATATTTTTTTAAACAAAGGTCGAACCTATGCTGGTTCGAAATGTATAAACTATATGGTATTAAACATGAACTGGACTGGTCAAAATCACGAGTCGGTTCAAGACCCGTGGTTAATGGGCAGGTTTGTGCCGGTTCAGGCCGAATCGGTGGGTCGGCTTGGCCCATGACCATGTCTACTCAGTTCAAATAATAGCTACAATAATATGCAGCCTCGGGTTTAAAAAAAAAAAAAAAAAAAAAAATTCTGGCTATGCCCCTGCTCACATCGGAGGGGTTTTCCAATGAAGAGCCTCTGATTCTTAAGTAAGTATACATCTCAACTCAATTCTCAAGAGTGTATGTAGCGCCCCATTTGTTTCGGATTATTTTGAGATTATTATTTATTTTATTTGTTTCAGATTATTTATTTCGGCTCGATTAGTTAATTTCTATGTGATTATATGCTCGTATGTGCTTAAGTGAATCTATTTTCTTATCGAGCCGAGTAATTAAATTAATTTTCGAATTGAGTATCGAACCGAGCTGGACATTTAACTTTGGCACGCCCCGGTCCCCGCGACCATCGCCGGGCCGCGACCGCGCTTGCCCTCACACCGCGCCCGCAACCCGCGCGCCCCACGCTCGCCCCCACCGTAAGCGGCCCAACCCATCGATCCCTTTCTTCTCTTTTTTGCATGCATGTGCATGTCTTTTACATTTGAAAGTTGTAACCTCCTCCATAACCCCAAATCAGATTTTTATTCCTCGATAAAGTCTCATTAAGAGCATATTGAAGAGTTGGGAGTTACATTTTGACATTAAAAGGGGAAGACCATTCATCCACCCCATTCTTCATTTTTATCTCTATCTCTCTCGGCTCTCTCTCCCTCTTACTCCCATCCTTTGCTAAAATTTCCAGAAATCATCTTCTCCCTCTCATCCTCTTCTACGTTCACCGAAAGCCCCAATCAAGGCCTGTCGCATGTCCCGACCGCCCGCTGTCACCGCAAGAGCCGCCCCCACACGCCCAGCGCCGAGCCTCGCGCACGCCCCGCCAGCAAGATCGACCGCAGGTCTGCTGCTCCCGCGACCCCTTGCACCTCTGAACCACGGACGTCCGACGACAACAAGCGAACCACCGGAGCCACACGACGTGCGATCCGCGTACACGCCGAGCACGCGGACGATTTTCCTGCCCCGGAGTGAACCGTTCATCAACCTATTTTTAGGTGTTTGGTAATTTTTACTAAACTCCTATATTATATCTTGTTAGGTGTTTTTTTTTTTTTGGTCATAGAAACATGTTTAGTGGTTGTATCTACCAATACCTTGTGTGTAGATACTAGAGTCATTGATCATGTCTGCGATTCTTTGCAGGGGTTTCAAGAACCAGACGACTTAAAAGGGAGAGATCACCGTCTACATGGGCAATGCCACGAAAGTGGAAGCAATTGCAGTGGGAGACATTACTTTATCTTTTGATAGAACTAGTTTGGTTTTGAGACATTGCCTTTATGTTCTACGTTTTAGAAAGATCTCTGTTTCAGTTTAAGCTTGTTTTAGATGGTTGTTCTGCTACATTTGATGACTTGGTTATTATTCTTTATGGAAATTGTTTCATTTGAGTGGTTCATTAGTTGACAATTTATATGTTCTTAAACCAAACTGTCCCACAGTGCAACAAACTAGTTGAATAATGTCTTGGCTAAATCTAATAAGAGGAAGGAGTCTTCGCAGCTGAATCAAGCATATATTTGGCACCTTAGACTTGGGTACGTCAACCTTATGATGATTCAAAAGTTGGTGTCCAGCAGACATCTCG